TTTTTTAATTAAAAACTTATTTTGAATCATTTCATTTTAGTTTGTAACATAATTATAGTTAAATAATATTATAAATATCGAGTAGATTTTACTAAAAAAAAAATTAATTAAATCCTAAAATAAAATAAAATTCAGAAATATTTACATATCTAGAAGAATATAAACTTGGCTACGTATCCTTCGTTCGCAATAGTGTTATAAAAATGGTAAAACGTTTGCGATCGTTCGTCACACTGACGCTCTGATATCACAAAAACTAACCGTCGTAATCGCTACAGATGCCATGTGATGATCATGAAAACTCCAAATCGTAAGAAACATTCGACCTCAATCATAAAGGGCTTATTCGTCGATATTTTTTACTCACTTTGGCGTTTTGCGAACCGGATCTTTTGCGGCGTTTTATAATACAATCGTGTGTCTCTTCTTCTCTGTCGTCGACCTCTCCGTTACTGGTGTCCATAAATTCTTTTGCGTCCGCTCTACGGGGACTGCCGACCTTGGTTCTTTTAGCGTCATCTTCTTTGCAAAGATCCACTAAAAAGCATTCCTTGTGGACGTACGCTTCGCATCCTATACACGCATAAACGCAATATTAACTGTCGTTTCAACAATTCCGATGAAACGTAATCAAAGTTCGGTTTGGAAAAAATCAACTCTTCGCCTCTCGTTCGAACCATTTCAATAAAATTAACGTCCATACGTACTTATACATCGCGCCATCTTCGAGTACGATCGTTTGGCTTCACAGAGACAGCATTTCCGAAAAAATCTGCGAGTGTAGTTGACGTCCAAAAATTGGTTTTCGTTCCCCCAACGGCAATTTCCAAACACGTGTAGGCAAACACGTTGACAAATGGCTTCCATCGTGTATGACGTTGATTGTTCGCGAAAAATATCAAGAAAATATTATACAGTCGTTTGAAAGATTGATATAATAGAATATGATAATTATGCGGACAAGACAAATGTAGCTGCGATTTATATTGATTCTCAGAAACAACAATAGCTTGAGAATTTTTAAAACATTTAACATAATCGTTTCCGGGTTCCATAACAACAAGAAATTTATTGAGCAAAAAAAAAAAAAAAAATAAATAAACAAATAAATACGGCCAATCACTATGAAGAGGGTTTTCCAAAGATATTCCAGCAATACCATCTCGAGAAATCCAAATGATCCGATGAAAGCCCCAAAATATTTCATTAGGCGGGGCCAATGAGAGACCAAATGTATGGTCGAGCCTTGCGAAAATACGATTGCATTTGTTGACTATAAACACAAATATAATACGAGACACAAATTTAGGTTTTGGGCATTACATAATCATATAAAATCACAGTACCTACCGATTTCCTCTATATTATTTTTTTACTACTCGAGAACATAGAGTGACGAACTTTATCACGGCAAACGCATCATTGGAGCAGTACATCGCTTCGGCGCGGGGGCGGGTTTAAGGGGGTGTCTAAGAGGGCAACATCCCTCCCCTCTTGGAGCTGAGCTGTTTATTTTTCTAAGTTAAGTATTATAAAAATTATGATAAATCAACAGTTATAATTAAATATCGTCATTGTGAAACAAATACATTAAAATAAAAAAAGAATTATTTACTTCCGAGTGACATATTCTGTGAATTAAAATTATATATAGACCCATACGACTAGCTACATTTTTGAAATTTAAGTAGTCCCCCCTATTGGCGAGTGATAAAAACCGCCACTCCTTTGGCGTGCACGAAAACACTTAGGTGCGATATTCAACCGGTGCGTAATGCGTATTGTATACCATATAGCATCTCAACGATACGGGCAGAGCTGATTCGAATCGCGTTTTAAAAGCATGTGTACCGAAGTGTCTCGGCGCGCGAGTATAAAATATGCGAACAGGGATCGGTTGAATGATACAGAAAGAATATATGTATAACCTCGAATACAAACAGTTCGCAAAGAGGTCTGTATTTGAATATTTCCAATAAAATATCCACTTGGACGTCCCGTTCGAGTGACACTTGAGAAGCTTTTAGCAAAAATTGCTATAGGATTTTTGTTTTATTTTATTTTATTTTCTTGAACCGCTAAAAAAAAACACATTCGCTACTAATACTATTGTTATTATTTCTTCGGGGAAGATTTTTAGCTTCTTTAATTCATAAACATTGTCTACTTGCTAACTCACTATATATATATAGATATATAAACCTATTATTTAGCTAATCTCTTGCTTTTTTTTTTTTTTTAGATTAATGAAATGAATCTCCGCTAATAAGTTTCGAATCCAATCAATTTACTTTTGCACCAAACGAGAAGTGCAAATCTAATCGTTTGCAAATCATATTCGGAAAATACCGTTTCGGGAAAAAAACGAATTCTCTTGTGTAACAATACGTTATTTGGTATCGTGTTTGAAAATACATTCACGTTCAGTTCGATACAGGAAAACGTAAGATCGAGTAGAAGGGCGTCAGCGGCACAAGACGTTGTACGTTATTGTCCTTAGACGGACTCGAGGTACAAAAACGGTTAGAAAACCAACAACATCGCGAAGAACGAGAAAATACCGTGTACATCTTCACGCATCGGTTACGACGAGATTCGGTACAGTGTACCCATACGTACTGCTCGGTTCTCGCAATTCTCATTCGGTTAAGTACCTCGAGTACAAATATTTTGTTTTCCACGACCGTATATATTGTAACAACGTACACTCCGCGTTATTATATTAGATCCGCATGTGGCCCGCGAAGCAATTTTTTATGGCCCGAACAAAGGTGGTTAATTTTTGTGTTTTGTTTTTGTTCAATAAAATTTCCATAAAATTTTCAATACTATTCAATTATTTTTTCTTTGTTAATAAAACCTAATCTAACCGTTAATAGTTGTCGTTTATTCTATGTAGTTATATAGTCAGTTTAATCTATAAAATTGTTATTATTATCTGATCGGAGTCGAAGATAATGATGGCTGCACTACTCAGTCATAGGATAAATTAAATATACTTATATATATTTAAAAATTAAAATTTTAAATATATTTAACCTATGTATTTAATACATACGTATTTTAAATATTTAATCTATGGTCATAGTTACTTTGCGTTTGTAGCGATTATTATTACACCGTGATTACGCCCGTACGTGTGACTGTTTGCGTTTGTAACAATTTCATTTTACAAGTAAATTATGGCGACTAAAAAAAGAAAAATTTGTAATGAACATCGTTTTTTTTTAATAATTCTTGGGTTGATTTATACTTTTTCGTCGAAAACAAAGGTAAGCCATTATGTTTAATTTGTCAAAAAATTAAATTTTTTCTTAAAACCAATTTTTTCCAGTAACGTTCGTATTTTTTACACTCAAATTTCTATATAAAATAATCAAATATAATAACAATACAATTATTAGTATATATCATATGTAAAAATTTTTTTTTTAATGTGGCCCTTGATAAACATTTGAAAAAAAAAATATGGCCAGCGTGGTTCAAAAGGTTGCCGACCTCTGTATTAGAGCAACGAAAACCGTATTGACTGCGATAGACGTGTGCACCGAACGAAAAATTCTATGTTAAGCGATTCTGTATAAAGTAGTCTTAGTTTATAAAAATGTACCGTTTATTTATTTTACCATTTTTAGTTAAACTGTTGGTAGGTTCTTTCTTGTATCAACTTGTTCAATGAAGGAGACATTTTTTTAATTAATTATTTATAATATGTTCTATTTGTATCAAAGGTTTTAATTTGGTTGGATGGATCAATACTTTTAATAAACATTTAAAATTTAAAATTGATGTACAAACAGTAAATTCAATAAAAATTCTATAATTTGTTTAAATGCTTATAGAATAAAAGTCTGTCTAAAGAATTTTTAAAAAATTTCAGTGCTTTTTGTTAAGTATATGAGTAGAGTGGTATTAAATTTTCAAGTTATAATATCCTAAGTTAAAAATTGTATTACATAAAAACTTTCAAAAAATTAGATATTTTATAGTTCTATCTCTAAACCAAAAGTTCTTAACTTTTTTTGGAAATGTTAAAAAATATTAAAATAATGTTTTTAATAGAAGGTAAAAGTTTCAAGTTTCCAGACACATAACTTTTGGAGTTATGACTAAATAACTAAAATCTGAAAAGTGAAAATCTCGTTTACAGCGCATTTTTACCGTTTTTTCAGCAGTTTTCCTCACACCTAGAAAAACTGCGGAAAACTTGAAAAATGACTTTTCTAAAGAACCTTGGCAGGCCGATTTTAAAAGATGAAAAGTTGCTAGATGAAACTTGGATCAATATTTCTATCCGAAAAAATGGTCGCAGAGAAAAAAAATAAAAATATACGTTTTAAGCCTATAAGATCCTTTGCTTCACTCAGAATTGAAAATACATAATTTTAACACATGAAACCATGTTTCTGTAGCTTATAGAAATGTATAGCATATAATTATTTTGCACTCTGTCCTCAGCAATTGTTTTATTTTTCACATAACTCCACTATAGTTTTCCTTGCATAACTTAGAAATTACACTTGTTAAAAAATTATTACAACAGTCGACGATTGTAATTTATTATAATATCATGCAAAACTTATAACTACTCGTAAAGCCATATAAATGACTACGAGATATGCAAGAAGCCAGGCAATGATTCTAGCTGGTTGCCGTACAATAATCGCAGCGTAAACGATTGTATGCATTATTCTCGACATCACAAATATTCTGATTAAATTAGTGGCGACGAATACATTGGGTTTTGTTAACATGTATCCGAAACAGGCAATTAAGAAGAACGGAATGTTTTCCAAGTCGTTGAGGTGAGCCCTGCAAATATTTTAAAAAATTGTAGGTATGACTTCAATTACTCGTTTACAACATCTGTATACTTGCCTTCTCAATCGTTCGATATCAACGTCGTCGTACTTCACTTTATACTTTTTGTTCAGTTTCGCGTCTTCGGGATTAGCGACCACCTGAAAACATTAAGTAATAGTTGAACATGATTACTATGGTAATATATATGTTAAAATATATCACTATATCCGTGCAACTGGAGCAGCTTAGCCCTCAACTACCGCAGAAGCCCTACCGCTTAAACATTCTGCACGACTTGTGTTCTTTATAGTTACGATGTAATGTAATCTAATATTCTTGTCTTTTTTTTTTTAATAAATGAATTTTTTTAAAGATTTTTTTTTCTTATCGTTCTACCTATTAAGTTTTAACAAAGATTATATACACCCAGCATTTTCATTGGTAACACCTACGTGTGTTTCTCATTTATCCGACGTAGCATTTATTTTAAACTCCTCTCCCCAGAGATACTTCGTTAAAAATATTTCACGCCTGTTCTAAACACTAAAACTACGCGTTTCGCAAACGAATATAAGTTAAAGCAAAACCTGTTGAAGGAATAATGTTTTCCGAAAATAATGTTGTTAAAATTTTTGTCATAATTACAAAGGTACTATATATATTTTGTAACATGTGACATCTTGTATCTGAGGTGCTGTCAACGAACTGCGTATTCGTGAGAACATTGTATATAAAATGTGCTAATTGTTTTTGTTAACAGATTGAAAATAGTTCTTTGAAGTAAAAAAATGAAAATATTTAAAGTTAATAAAGGTTAGGTAAAGAGTGGGAAGGAGCGAGAACGCTAATTGTATGGTTTGTCGACCCCAATCGCAAGTAAAAAATTGGAAATGCGCTCAAGTGGTTTTATGCAGGATTCGTAGTTTCTCGTTGTTTTTTTTTTAACCGTACGTTGTTCACCAGGCGTAAACTGGCCGTCCATACCGCCATGGCCAGGACTTTCAACACCAACACGCCCGAGTAGAAGAGATACGTTTTGAGCAGACGGTCGTCCACATCGAAGGAGATCGCGACCATGATGGGTAATAGGTGTTGTACGTAGACGATGCGAGTCGGAGACTTTACCGCACCGGTGCGGATACTCGAGCGCTGACGGTAAAGGTTTGTGAAATAAAACGGCAAAGAAAATTATCGCAAACACCGAGATTTGTATGAAAACTATAATATTAATTGTTGATATGTGCCCATGAATTACGGCCAAGTGACGACGATTGTTATGTTATGCGCACGCGGCCGACACGTTACGGCGGTGGCGGCGGACCAAGTGCTGTCGTTCACTACGATTCGCGACGGCAACGTAAAAGGTGTTGTGGCCCAAGCCAAATCCATCGTGGATAATTGCGTTTCAACGAGGTTAAAAAACAATAATTATAAATACACAAACGATTTATGAATACAAAGTCGAAAAGACAAATTCGCACGTCGTCTGTTAATTATTCGTGTGCGATTAAAATAATTGTCATTGTACTGCCGTTGATTATAACTTATAATAATTACAAGTATTGATGTTCACATGGATGCCGCCGTCTGTGCGCCCGTTCACGCAGTCAGTGTCTCACGTTACCCGATTTCCCAATGATTACGAGTAACATCTATTGTTCGTCACATCGTACATTTTGTCGCAAGCACTTTTTTTATAATTCCATGATTTTACAATATTCTTTCACCTGCCGTAACATAAATAAATCCAAAACGTTTGAAATGGAGTGAACGATATAATGGAAATAGGCGATAACGATTCAATCAAAAACACTTCGACTAACGTTCCTCCGTACGTCTCTAATAATACTCTTCATACCGACCTACATAATTGTTAGAGAAGTTATTAAACAACACTATAAAAAATTCCACAAAAAACTTGGCAATCACCCCAACCTTCTTATTTCTAAGTTTTTCTCAAACTCCCTTCTTGGTAATACTACAAGGTGACTTAAGTGAATGTGGCCCAAAGATTTTCTAGTTGACGAACAAGCTGGTTAGCATGGACCAAGTGTGAAATGCAAAAAAAAAACAAATTATACAACAATATATTCTCGCCGAAGTATTGTCACTGAACGACCTCTTCAATTCACGCATTTCATGCAAATTAATGTTAGAGTTATTATATAAGTAGGAACCATTGTAAATACTTTATACTATTTATAAGTTATATAAGTGAATACATCAATACATAAATACATAATATTACTTTTACCTATAAGTAATTAGTTATAACTTATAACAATCAAATTGTAAATTTTTCATTTGTTGCGCCTTCCCAAGAATTGCGCCCAGGACGTAGGCACCTCTACCCCCCCCCCCCTTGCTACGGCTTTGAGTACCATACCAATCATAAATACTAAATACTATAATCGACCGGTGGTTCAAATTAATCTTGACGTCGATATCGGAGTGCGGTGTGAGCACCCCGGACGGACGTGTTCCGCGCGCGTGAAAAAAAAGAAAAGGATTGCGACGTTGTGTCGTCAAGTCGAAGTCACGCGGGTTATCGGTCGACTGTCGGCGGTGGTTGTGGCAGCGGTAGGCGACGGCGGTGCGAAAATCGGAAGGAGGGCATCCACCTCGAATGTAAATTCGCATCGAAAGGAAGTTCCCATGCGCGAGCGATACACGTATGTAATTATCGCGCGAACGCACATTCATAATGTATACATCATTCGTGTTTATTATAAATTATAATGTAATACGCGTCCCAGGACGACGCGGAGCACACGGACAATGCGCCGAGTCACAGTATACAGAGTGATGCTTTTAACGCCGGATCGGGTTGTACCCGTGTTCGGAACACGTTCACTGAAAAATGTGCAGCGCTTAAAAAGGAACTTGTTCGTGTTCAATTTTTTCAAAGTTTTTGAGTTCTATAAAAAAATGAACGCGTTCATTTCAATTTTTCTATTTTCTATTTATGAGTCACCTACCTGGGATACTGTATAAATAGGGCCTTTACGAAACATGTTAAGTATGTTTAAGACCTATACTTAAACGCATTACAATCGATATTTATTATTTTTTACGAATATTTTTAAGCCGGTAAATAAATTCGAACGCACCGAAAATCGTTAAATTCTCCAGAAACGTAATGTCGTTCATGTTCACCAAGGCCGCATCTAGAAATTTTTTTCAAAAGGGATCCAAAACATGTATATTGTAATTTTATTGAATTAAGATTTTAACTTTTGATACCTATTTGGTTAAAAATAAGACAGAAAAAGATTTAATCTTCTTTTATTAAAATTAATATCATATTTTCATATGATATTTATGATATAAAATTAAAAGCAGTCAATGATTAATTGGAGCTTAAGTCATTTTTGACTGAAAATATTTATGTTGGTATTAAAAATAAATAAGTAATCTAAACATTCGTAAAATATTGAAGAAATTTCGGGGGAGGTCCAGACACCCTGGACCCCTCCCTAGATACGGCCTTGATGTTCACATTCTGTTTAAAAAAAGAGCGTGTCGTTCACATAAAAACTTTACGCTATGCTTGTGTAAGGTCTGTTTTGGAATATGGCGCTATTGTATGGGATCCACTTATTGTTATTTTATCCACTTATACCACTTATTGTGGTAGGGATCAAACTGAAAGAGTACAACGTAAATTCTTAAAATATGCAGAATTTACTTTAAATGTCGACCATCCATCTCATGGTTACAATCCAATCTTAAATAAGCTTGGTTTATCATCTTAAGTCGATGGAAGAAAAGCTGCTAACCTGAAATTTCTCCGTCTACTCATGAATTAAAATTATCTTTTGACTATTTTGAATTTAAAAAGAATAATTAGTACTTTAATATCAAAATCTAAAACTTGAATAACATTTAGTCCTATTTTTACTAATAACTAAGATAATGATTAAAAATATACCCCAACAGCATAATGTGACTTTGAAAGAACTAAAGAAGCTTTAGCCAAAATAAATCCAATAGCCGATTATTTATTTTTGACAGTATAAGAGGATATAATATTATGATGATAATATAGGTAATAAGTTATTATAAGTAATAATGTAGTGTATCCATATTCTTGAGAGTTTCTAAATTTTTTGGTGATCTCAATATCTTCACCAATCTCCGTGATTTGTTTATAGTTGATTTTATACTTTCTATTTTAAATACATCTAGAATCGATAGTTGTAAAGTATGAGCAGCACATCGCATACTTCTCAATACCACCGATGTATTGACTGCTGTACCCAAATCGTTGAAGATTGAAGGCAATGTCTCTTGATTATTTTTATTTTCTTGTTCATTTATTATATTATTATCTTCATCAGAATATTCAGAAACATTGTTACTGTGCTCTTCGTCTATGTGAAGTTGGTCATCTTCAAAATTGTGTTCATTTTCAGAACTCCAAGAAATAGAAACGTTATTCAAGAACGTATAACTTTAAAGCATTCGAGAACATATGACTGTAAAAAGTTCTACTGATTTAATATTCAAGAACGTAATATTTCAAAACATTCTTTTAATTAAATTTACAAGAACGAATAACTTAATAATGTTTATTAGTTCTATCATTCAAGAATTTTACATTTTTTTACGTTTTTTTGGCGAATATTTCGAAAACATAAACAATTTTAACGTTTTTCTATTAAAAGTTCAGTGAACCATTTAGTTAGGGCGTATTTGAGTTGAGGCCATGGGGGGGGGGGGGGGACGAAACTAATTTTTCTTCAATCAAACTTAAAAATAATTTTTCATTGCCTACAGCTCATGTTTCTGTTATAATAATAGACTACCTAGTAATTTATATTAATTATTTATACATTATATTTTTTAAGCAAATCAATGTATTATATTTAACAAAAATATGAGTCATGGTGAGGGCGAATGCCCCCTTCAGCCCCTTCAAATACGCTCTTGCCATTTAGTTTATAACGTTACAATCTAAAACCGTTCGTTGAACATAGTTTGATTTAACGTTTATCATAAATAAAGTTCAAAAACAAATTATGGAACTGAACCAAAAATTAACGGTTAAGGTAATCTTGTCTACAGGCTCATAAAAAATCGAATTATTGAGGGAGCGAAATTTGTCTGCAATGTGATTGTTATGGATGAATTTTATTGGATGAATATAAATGTTACGTATTAGCTGAATTACCTGGCGTTGACTGGAAAAGATTGGAATATAAAAAAAAGCCTATTATATATATACATAAGGATTTGAATAATCCACAAAATAATAGTATTGTTTTAATCAAATAAAAATAATAAATAAAATATTAACAATATGAAAGAACAAAAACATAAGTAATTGTAATGTTGAAAATATAACTTTACGTTTTAAGTTAAGATGTTGAGTATTCACTCACTGACAGTTATAAAAACAAAAGAAACAGTGAAACAACAAAGAAAGTTCGTGCAGGACATTGCTTTAGGTTGATAATAATTGGTATATCTACATAATTATATTGGAATAGTTCTTATTTCTTAATTAAGTTTTAATGGATTGATACAATAAATATTCTGTCTTTATTTTTAACTTTCATTAGTTTAATGAATAGATTAAATATTACGTGTTCCGTTGTAAAATTAGTCACTATGTACTATAATTTAAATTAGTCTTACTTAGTGCCATTGCTGTGTAACATAGGAGATTAAAATTTCACGAAAAACGAAAATAAAATATATTGAAGAAATTCAATGAGTTACAATTATACGTATATCCAACTCTTCTATAAAAAATGTCTTTTTGTCAATTCATTTTAAACCTGATCGGAGAAAAGCCAAGTCCGTTCGACATAAAAACATGAGATATGTTATCATATCATGTACGATCGGATGCATGCATCGTTATTCGTTATTTTCTCTAACGATTATTATTTATTACGATTATTATATAATTATGCGCACACGGTTTCGTCCACTCAACTTAAGTCCACTTTATATTGATCGCAAGTACATACCAATACCATCTCATAAGAAATGAAATTTTGAGTAGGCATTTCACGTATTTCATGACGTTGAATGTAATTTAGTTACAATAATAAATTGGCTGCGATTTCGTTTGCTACGGCCAGCTGGACTAACTGTTGCGCGGGATCTTGTACAGTTGTTTGATAATTACTATTACGAGATGCGTTCCTATTTGCATCGATCACGGACTCGGAGAAATAAAAAAATAACCGAAACGTTTGATTAAACAGACAAGTGATTATCACACGCGAGTATCATAGTATATATGCGATTGTAAAAAAAAAAAAATTCTAATATAATTTCAT